TATCGCCGAATAACCACCCCTGACGACCACGAAATTCTACAAAATGACCTATCCTTAATTGAAAACTGGTGTTCACTCTGGATGATGCAGACCAATGTTTCCAAATGCAAAGTCATGCGCGTATCTCTCAAACAGTCTAACTCGGAACACGTCTACAATTTAAACTCAACGACCTTGGCGTATGTTGATAGTTACCGATACCTTGGCGTGCTTATTTCTAACACTCTCACGTGGTCGGATCACATCACACACTTAGTTGCTGACGCATCAAAGAAGTTTGGTTACATCCGATGAACGTTATGCCTACCACCTCCTACAGTCCGTAAAATTGCGTACGTAACCTTCGTTCGTACGAAGCTCGAATACGCGTCATCCATTTGGAGCCCTCACCAAACCTATCTGATTAATCTGTTGGAATCCGTTCAGAATAGGGCTGCCCGGTTCATTATGTCCAATTACGATCACTCATCAAGCATCTCTTTTATAAAGGAGTCTTTAGACTTGCAGAATCTAGCTGACAGACGTATACTTTTTCGACTTTATTTCACAAATTATACTATTATTTTCCCCACTTGCATGGTTCTCTCTTGCTTTCTCCCGCCCGCTATTCTCGCCGGCTATTTAATTCCAGAAGCCTCCAACGTCTTTTCGGTACGACCGTTGCATTCAATAAGTCATTTCTTCCTGTCGCCATCGAGGAATGGAATAACTTACCGGAAGCTATCGTTTCAGAGCGTGACTTGTGCGCATTCAAACAACTACTAACAGCTCACTGAAACTTGGAAGCCCATTAAAACTCTACCACGGTCACTGTATTTTGCACTCTTGTATGTGTAAATTTTGTGCGCGCATGTTTTTATACTTGTATAAGTACATTTTCTGTGCGTCTGTTCTCGGTTCCTACAAAAGTATTGCTCGTGTGTTTGTACAACTTTCTATGTTTTTCTTTGTTTTCGTATTTAGAAAAATGTCCCCCCCCCCTTATGTAATGCCCCTAAGGGGCCCTTAAGGGTCAAATAAATGATGATGATGATGATGATGATGATGATGAATTGACACAAAAATTTTCACATGAGTAAATCTGATGTCAGTGCTTGTCATCCACAAAAGAGAAGCTCTCTCCAGAAGGGCACCCTTGCTGAAGAAAGTTAGACAATTCTTGTGGCTTCCTGATGAGGCAGAGGTATTTCACACGAAGGACTCTGATAGGGAACTTTGCAAGTACCTTCCCACAAGGCGCTGCCAAGTGCCCTGTTCCGAAACAATGACGCGGAAGGAAGGGGACTTCCGGCTTGGGCGTTGTTGCCAAAAAAAAAAAAAAAAAAAAACACTGAAAGGTTCCAGCTCTTTGCTGCCCACACCGACGATGCCAGTTCTTGAAGTCCAGCCTCTTCACAAAGATTGCTAGCTGTTGCTTTGACCTTGGAAAGTTTGACATTCGTGCCTTGAAAGTTGCTTGTGACAGCAGCATCCGCCTTTTTTTTTGTAGATGGCTTTAGGGGAAAGGACAAATCCACCTTCTTTGCCTGCTTGAAGCAGCTTGAGATCTGCAGCGCGTAGCAACTTGATGAGGGAAGGTTAGCATGAGCTTCCAATTTGCTTCAGCAACAAGCAATCCACTCCTCCTTGAATACACCTGTCTCTATTTTCAACAGAAGCTTGTGCCGCAATGCTCCTTACCTAACTCGAGCTCTACTTGGTCCAATTTTGGTGGCTCATAAAATTTCAGGTCCTTTTTTCAATGCGCTTTTAACCCCAGAAGGGTGCTTGCATTCTCTAGAATCACGACTTGATGCCCAGATTGATGTGTCAGCTTCTTTCTTGGTAAGCCGAGAAATATCTTCTTCGAAAGGAAATCAGCTGTCTAGGAAGCAATACACAGCAGGCCCACAGTGATCAACGAGCACGAGAGATCTACAATGCGTTTTGCAGTGACAAGAAAGGTGATATGCGCATGAGTGTACCTTGATTAGCGCTCCTCACCATACAAGTTGCATATTTGTCAAGTAAACGTTTGCCTCATCACAGTTTTTTTTTTAGACCCATAAAAATATTTCATTAAAGGAAAGTCTCACCTCCCTGTTATCCTCCCCCTCCTTTCATGTTGTGCATGCTCTACCTATATACCCCCATGTATGGAATAAAACACCGGTTGTAAGTCAGCACTTGGTCCGTCTCTTTCACTTTGTGTTTTCGCACTGTTTTTCGCTTCGTTGATCATGTACCAACCAGCCCAAAATAAGCATTTTAGAACTCTAGAGGGGTGGAACAATGCTAGCCAGCAAGATAATTGTGTACTACAGTAGCTCCGCTCAACAGAACACTAGCCCGAATACTTTTGGCTACCACCTCATAGCAGAGCAGCCATGTTTCCTGCCTGCCAGGTGTGCTTCAATTAAACACCATCCTTAAAAATGGAATACCTCAAATCGCTTGCGACTTTACCAATTTCTAAAAAATGTGTATTGCATAAATTGACAGCCTACAACTTTTCCATATAACGAATCTCGTCAATTCGAACTCAAAGGGGCCCAAAAATTTGTACAAATTAATGAACACTAAATGAATGGAAGGCTCACCATGCAGTGGCGCATGTGTATTGAGCTAACACACGAGAGGGAAGTTTCAGAAAGCATACATTTATCCACAAATCAAAGGACATCCATCATTAACTGAAGTAATTGGGGATGCACGTCTGCGCAAGTTTGCCTTGCAGCGAGTCAATCAATTTCGCACGCAGTTTGCAAAGCATTCCTACTTCGGCTTCAGCATTCTCCTGGAAAAGAGAAGTTGCACGCGCAATGTGCGGCACCGACAGTCTCTAAAGACAACGACAACGACTGCATCTTTGCTGCTACCCTTTGCGCCGCAACCGCAGTGTGGTCAGCACAAGATGAGGAAAGAGGAGTGTCTCCATGCAGAGAGAAGCAGTTCAGCATTTGAGAGAAAACGAACACTCTGCAACAGCTTCTTTTTTTTTTACTCTCTTCGCACGTGGTGTTAAAAGGAAAAGGGTCTCTACATGGCAAGGACGGGAAAGGTAGAAGCGTAGCACCGGCACGTCGCATATAGGCATTTGAGAGAAGAAGCCAACACTCCCGACAGCCACCTTTCTTTTTTTTCCTTTCTCTCTTCACGTGCGGTGTTGAAAGGAGAAGGGTCTCTACATGGCAGGGACGGAAAAGGGAGAAGCGTGGCACAGGCACGTCACACACCTGCATTTCTGAGAGAGCAAACATTCCGCCGCAGCCTTTTCTTTCTTTTTCTTCTTTACCTTCTTCGGTCACAGCATTGAGGTGTCGTAGGTGCTGCGGCCGGATTAGGCATGATGCTGAGAGCATTTTCAGAGCTCGGTATGTTTGAATTAACCGTCCCAAGTGCTTACGTGTTCGAATTACAGGGCGTTTTCGCGCATCGGAATATACATAGCTTTGACGGGACCACAGCATCTGTTCTAAATAACCGGAAGTTCGAATTAAGCGTGTTCGAATTAAGCGTGTTCGAAGCGGAACAATCTTTATGTCAGTAACTAAAAAGCTATTAACGAGCTCATGTTTGTCACTGCAATGTCACATTATCTGCAGGAAAACACTTCCACCTCAACGTGGAGTTCATATGAAAAGACAACAAGAACCTGACTGTCAGTGCATCAAAAATCTGCACCATCTGAAAAGGAAAGACTCAAACATCCGATACATATATATCATCATGCTCAATATTTAGCTGCCCCTACAATGCCACAAAAGATAAGTAAATTTGCTCACACTGTCCTTTTTAGAAAAGGAACACTTTCTTCAAGCTATCATCATGAAATAAGTGTAACTGTATCACGACTGCAACAAACTAGTAGGTATATTTTGGCCATCGAGTGACCCTGTCTAGTCTGCTACAAGACTGTGACTGCATCAGTGGTCAAGTGGCAAGACTATTTATCTCCAATGCCGGAGACCCTTGGTTTAATTCTCGCTGCTGCCGAGCATCCACTGTGTGTAGAAAGATACCCAGGCCTGGCACTTGGTGGTGTGAATACTTTTATGGTGAGAAAGTTACCTCTTCTTTCCGCTCACTTCTTTCACTACACTTCCCTTGTGGGTTGCAGAAACAGGTTTGCCTTCTAACCTCAAACCATTATCTTTGCAATGTCATTCTACTGAAAGCTTCTATAAATTGCATGACATTCCTTTAGTATTGTGAAACAATAAATTCAAGAGAGCACCTTTTTCTTTTCTTTTTTTTTTTTTAGATATACCAGCCCACAAAGCTGAAGGAGTAGAGTGGTTGCTGCCTTGGGCAAGACAAACTAACTTCATAGCAATTACTCAAGTGTATTTGACCTGTGTGTGTATGGAATATAAACACAAGAAAAATTCAGCAGGAAGGGCAGTAAAGGCACCTTAGCACTATTTTATTCAACTTATTGTGCCATATGAACATAACTGCAATGCTAACCTGCCACGATTCCCTAGTTGCAGTGGTGCACCTAGGAGCAACCACTGTCCCTTATGAGCATATGCAAATCTTTGGCAGGTAATTAACAACTACCATTATCACTAGATAACTTTGGCCATGCCAAGCATAGAAGCATAATATGACAGCTACATATAACACCCTCCATATCCAGTCACAGTGTACACATGAAGCAAGCAGCCCCGCCGCGGTGGTCTAGTGGCTAAGGCACTCGGCTGCTGACCCGCAGGTCGCGGGTTCAAATCCCGACTGCGGCGGCTGCATTTCCGATGGAGGCGGAAATGTTGTAGGCCCGTGTGCTCAGATTTGGGTGCACGTTAAAGAACCCCAGGTGGTCAAAATTTCCGGAGTCCTCCACTACGGCGTCTCTCATAATCATATGGTGGTTTTGGGACGTTAAACCCCACAAATCATCATCATCATGAAGCAAGCAGTGTAAAACACACAGTAATACTGCATCACAAACTTGTGGCTTATGATTCAAAGAAAAAAATACCATGACCTTATCACATAAATAGAAGCAAAACACTCACATCACTCCTCAGAAGCAACTCAAGCTTCTTTTCATCCTGAATCTTCTCTTCCGCTACCTGGCTGCTGCTGCTGGGGCCCTGGTACTTCGGTCTCTCAAGTGGTACGGGTACGGACTCACTTTTGTTCCATCTTTCAGGAGCTGCAAAAATCCTCCAATTAGCATTTTTGCCGCAATTAACACACATATAAATAAAAGGAATATTAAAGAGGTGGCATGGGCGGCATTCCTTTTGTGTACATGTCAATCTCAGCAAGACTACTGTTTCTTGTAAAAATGTGCATTTATCAAATGCACTTATAATGCTGATAATACAACATAATATTAAATAAGAATTTTCCAGTTAACGACCATTAACTAGCCTAACTTTGTATCATTTAAAGCTTTATACATCACAAAATGAGATAAGAAATAATTGATCTTTGCTCTAGTGGCCTCACTAGACAGTAGCCTACATAACCTTCCATTTTCTGTCCTGAACACATGTGATATTGGTTTCACCTGCCACACTACATGCATGCTTTTACAAATACTATATGCACAAGAGTCACCCATCTTACACTTAGCCTGCCGTAATAGTACTCGATGCATGTTGTTGCGTCGAAGAGCCCACGTACACTTGTGAGAACCAGTCAGTCCACACAATCTTTCTGATAAGCGTGTCATGAGCTAGACATCTTGGAATATTTAAATTTGCATTTATCTAAGAGAAAGTTCTTAACAGTTCTCGGCCTTGATTTCTCTTAATACCCACCTGTCCAGCTGCCTCAAAGCAAGCCGGTAAACACTGGGTACTCGCGTAGCTCATGCAAACTAAAGGAGAGACCCAGCTTCATATACATAATATTCCTTCATTTTTCAGTAGATATTTATGAATATTTTAAAGCTTATATTATGTTCCAATTCCAAGTATCAATTATTTTTCTTGTACAATTTGCAGTTTTAAAAATATAATTTTCAAGTACATTGTTAGGAACAAAACATATTTCTAAACTGAGTTATAAAGCAAGTCAGCATATTATAATAACGTGGAAAAGATACTGTATGCGGTAAAACAATTATGAATGTTTTAAGCCCATTTGAACAAATATAGTGGTACATTGAACATAGTGGTACATTGAACATTTGTCACAAACGAGCACTCAATAAAGCGGGCACCTCGGAATTCTAGCGACTGCAACAATACCAGGTGCCGCTCGGACACGCTAGAAGCCAGCATAAAAAAAGAAAAGCATCAAAGGACTCCTCGGACGCGCCGTTTCTTCCCCCTCATAAAGGGTCACCACTACGCTGACCAACCTCATCGCACCTATCGCCGCACAACCTCCAGAATCATTGAGGAGGAAAGCGTAAGTCAATCCCAAGTTGCGTCACACGTCGCGGCCCACCTTTCCCCAACTTTTGCTGTGCAGCACGCCGATGAAGGTTCTGGAATCCAGGGCGAATGTATATAAGCAAGCAGTGGATGGAGGTGATCAAGAGGTAAAGAAAGTTTGTGCCAGTGCGCGTAGGGCCGGAGAAGAAGAGTTTTTCCACAGTCAGGTGAAGGCTTATGTCTTCAGTGACAATGCAGATGAGATGAAGAGGTTTTCCATCTACGGGTGAAGGCTTGTACTACAAGCAGGAGAATAGAGAGTTGATTGATTGATTAGTGGTGTTTATTGGCGCAAGGGCCAGATATGGCCAAAGAGCGCCAGAGCGATGATAATAAATTGTGGGATGTGGAGTGTAGATAAAACAAATGTGACGTGGCTGTAAATGGGCCTAAAAAACAGTCGCTGTAGGTGTGTAAAAATATACATATGGTAAAATTATGGCAATGACAAATGATGTGAGCTATGGAGACATAAAATGATTTAAAAGTGATAAGTATGTCAAATAAAAACTTGGCATGGAGCACCAGTGCCTCGACAGAGCCCTTAAAACAAGAGCATGGAGGCCTGGGCTCATTGAAATCTGCTATCACAGCAGCATCCTCTGAACAGAGGATGTGCTATGAACCTGTTGGGCTAAAAACATTCAATGTTGGACTAAACACATTCAGTACTACTTCCTTTAAAAAGCTTAAAACTGATTTTGTATTAAAAAGCGGCTCTTCACCGAGAAACATAATTGGGTGTAAAGGAAGATTATAGCGGTATGCTAAAGCAAAATATTTCTTTCTCTCCCTTTCAGCTTCCGCACACTCCAGGAGGACGTGGAGGACGGTTAGCCTGTCACCACATCTACCACAAGTAGGAGGTTCATCGCCAGTCAGAAGAAAGTTATGAGTACCATAAGTGTGTCCTATTCTGAGGCGACAGAATAGGACATCAGTTCGCCGTGTTCTTGTAGCGGAGGGCCAGTAACCCAACCGCGGCTTAATCAAATGAAGCTTATTATTTGTTTGTGTCCCACAAGCGTTGCCAGTGGTTTCGCAGTTTCTTTCGTAGAAAGGGTTTTAGATCTGTTGCAGGGACAGTAGCGGTGGGGTTAATAGCGCGCATTATAATTGACGTGGCCATTTGGTCAGCTAACACATTGCCCTCGATACTTCTATGACCAGGTACCCAGCAAATAGTAATATGCTGGTTGGACATATACACTGTACACAGAACGGAATATAGCTCAATTATTATCGGACTTCTGAATCTGAAAAGGGATCTTAATGCATTTACGACGCTTAACGAGTCTGTGAATATAATTGATTTTTGTATGTTTGATTTCCGTATATGCTTCACAGCAGACAATAGTGCATAACCCTCAGCCGTAAATATACTTGTTTCTGGGTGCAGCACGCCGGATTCCGAAAAGGATGGTCCGACGGCTGCATAAGCCACCCCTGCATGCGACTTAGAAGCGTCAGTATAAAACTCTACGCATGAGTAGTTGGACTGGAGTTCTCGGAAATGCATTTTAATATGTGCTTCTGGTGCGTGTTTAGTGATCTCAACAAATGAGGTGTCACAGTGTATAAGCTGCCACTGCCACGGCGGTAAAAGTATCCCTGTGGGCGTAGGACAGAGTTCCAGCAGCGGAACACCCATTTCCTCACATAAGTTTCTCACACGCAAGGAGAACGGCTTTCTCACTGTGGGTCGATTATGGAAGAGGGTGGCAGCGGTCATATCGTTTATAGTTGAATAAGATGGATGCTTGATGTTTGCACGTACCTTTATAAAATATGTGAAACTGCTATAGGATCGCTGCAGGTGAAGTGACCACTGATTCGACTCTACATAGAGGCTCTGGATCCGGCTTGTCCTGAAAGCACCGGTTGCAAGTCGGATACCCAGATGGTGAACAGGGTCTAGGATTTTTAATGCACTTGGTGTTGCGGAATGATAAATTATAGAGGCATAATCAAGGCGCGACCCGACAAGGCTTTATGTATAACTTCAAGAGGCACTTTCAATCACTACCCCATGTTGTACGTGACAAGAGTTTTAGGACGTTCATCGCTTTCAAACATTTCATTTTGACATATTTAATATGGGGAATAAACGTAAGTTTAGAATCTAAAGTGGTTCCCAGGAATTTATGCTCGCTGCTTACAGAGAGTTGGTCTCTCTTGATCGCAACATTTGGTTGTGGCATTACCCCTCGTTTGTTGGAGAAAAGTATGCAAGTACTTTTCTTCGTGTTTATTTTAAAACCGTTTTCATCCGCCCATTTAGAGAATTTATTCATTCCAAGCTGCACCTGTCGTTCGCAGACAGACATATTGCATGACTTGAAACTCATCTGCACATCATCAACATACACAGAATAAAACATCGCGCTTGGAATGACTGACTGCAGGGAGTTCATTTTTACAAGAAAGAGTGTGCAACTAAGCACGCCACCTTGCGGAACACCAGTCTCTTGGGTAAAAGTTCTAGAGAGAGCATTTCCCACTTTTACGCGAAAGGTTCGGTTAGACAGGTAACTTTTAATTGTGTTTAGCATGTTCCCACGGATGCCCATGGTGACAAGATCGCGGAGAATCCCAAATCGCCATGTGGTGTCATACGCCCTCTCTAAGTCTAGGAATACCGAAAGTACAAACTGCCTATGAATAAATGCATCTCTGATGTATGTCTCTATGCGAACAAGGTGGTCTGTTGTCGACCTCCCCTCTCTGAAACCACACTGAAGGGGGTCTAGTATACTGTTACTTTCTAAAAAGTGGATTAAGCGCCGGTTTATCATTTTCTCATATAGTTTGCATAGACAGCTTGTTAGCGCTATTGGCCTGTAGCTGGCGGCCAAAGACGGATCTTTGCCTTGTTTAAGTACTGGGATGACTATAGCTTCTTTCCATGACAATGGAATATACCCAACTGCCCACATGTTATTAAAGAGAGTTAGGAGTGTTTTTAGTGCTTCGGGGTGAAGGTACTTGACCATTTCGTATGTTATACGATCAACACCTGGCGCTGAGTTGTTGCAGCACGCAAGAGATGCCTTAACTTCAGCTAATGTAAATGGGCAGTTGTAAGACTCACTGGATGGACGTTTACATTTAAGGGGCTGTCGCTCTTCGCGTTCTTTGAATTTTAAGAACGTTTCTGTATAGTTTGATGCACTTGAGACGTATTCAAAGTGTTCGCCTAGGCAGTCCGCCTGCTCCTCCAGGCTCTCCCCTCGGCTACTTACCAAAGGTAGGGGGTGTGTCTCCCGACCAATTAACTTGTTTACCCTATTCCAAACCTTCGTTTCGTCGGAGTAAGAATTTATACCGGAGATGTACCTATTCCAACTTTCTTTCTTTGCAAGACGACGCGTTCTTCTGGCTTGGGACTTAACCTGTTTGAAATTGTGGAGGTTTTCAGCTGTTGGGTAATTTCGGAGTAGTCTCCAAGCTTTATTTTGTCTATTGCGCGCTTTCCGACAATCATCGTTCCACCATGGAATGCGACGTTTATTGGTCATTCCGTTGGTTTGCTTGATACATTTCACTGCAGCGTCAATAATAAAACCTGTTAGGAATGCTACAGCATCGTCTATATTAAAATCAGCAATCTCATCTCCGTCTAAAAATGTAATTTCTCGAAACAGTTCCCAGTTGGCTGACTTGGTGTTCCAGCGAGGAAAGTCAGGCGAGCATGTATCTTCTTTTGTTAACTTTAACATTATCGGGAAGTGGTCACTCCCAAAGGGGTTCTTGAGAACAGACCACTCTAGATAAGGAATTAGTGTACTCGAGACAATACTCAGGTCTATAGAAGAGTATGTGTTGTGCGTAGTGCTATAATATGTTGATTCTTTTTTGTTAAGTAAACATGCACCTGACGAAAACAGAAAGTGTTCTATTAGGCGTCCTCGTGCATCCAAACGGGAGTCGCCCCATAAAGGATTATGTGCATTTAGATCACCAACGACTATATATGGCGGAGGAAGTTCATCAATGAAGCTTTGAAATTCTGTCTTTGAAAGTTGATAGCACGGAGGAATGTAAATAGAAGTAATTGTTAGTAGCTTCCCGAACAGCACTGCTCGGACAGCAACTGCCTCAAGAGAAGTTCGGAGGTTTAATTGCTTACAGGCAACACCTTTATCAACTATTATAGCGACACCGCCCGACGAGGCGGCAGCGTCGTCACGGTCTTTGCGGAAGATAGCATATTGCTTTAGAAAATTTGTTTGTGTGGACTTGAATGTGTTTCCTGAACACACAGCACCTTTGGAGTATGTTTATTAAGGAGTTCTCTAATATCATCGAGGTTATGGAGAAGTCCTCTCACATTCCACTGTAAAATCTGCGTGTCCATTTTAGATGTGTTTTGTGCTGTGTGCTCAAGGATAGAAAATTAGCTCACGGACCCTTTCCAGGGGCCGTGACACGAGATTTTTCTTTTTTGGATCGGTCGACGGAGTCGCGCCGATCCTTAGGCGCTTGCTGCGCCCTCACGCTCGAAGTTGTGTCCATTGCCTCTAGCGAGGCACTGGACAAGCGCTCTTGCAAGCGCTGCGGTTGTTTTGAGGGCCTCGCCTCTAAAGACAAGGCCTTCGTGGCCCCCAGCCCGGAGGTTGGTGGGTCCTTCTTCGATGGCGGAGCAGCACTGGCTGCAACCGCCGTGGGGGCGGATGGCGTCACCGCTGGCTCACTACACGTGTGCCAGACAGGCGCCGGGGGCCGTCGTGGCGCTGCCCCCTGACGCGCCACTTCAGCAAAGCTGGTTTCTGGCAGGTAGGACACCTGCCTTCGTGCCTCCCTAAATGAAATGTTTTGTTTTACTTTAATCGTGACAATTTCCTTTTCTTTTTTCCAGCTGGGGCATGACCGTGAGTATGCGGCATGCTCCCCGTTACAGTTCACACAGTGAGGAGAGTTTTCACAAGCATCAGATGTGTGTTCATCAGCACTGCATTTCGCACAAGTTAGGCGGCCTCGGCAGTTCTGAGAACTGTGGCCGAACCGCTGGCATTTAAAACATCTGAGAGGGTTCGGTATATATGGCCTCACTCGAAGCTTGATGTACCCTGCCTCAACAGAGTCGGGCAGTACACTTGAATTGAAAGTAAGTATTAAGTGCTTAGTCTCGATTTCTTTGCCATCGCGCCTCATCCTAATTCGTTTCACATTGATGACATTCTGTTCGCTAAAACCCTCCAAGAGTTCAGCCTCCGTCAGCCCTAACAGGTCATCATCTGAGACAACGCCACGGGTGGTGTTCATGGTTCGGTGTGGGGTTACTATTAATTTGGCATCTGCAAATTTCTTTAGGTTAGGCAATTTTTCATATTGTTTCTGGTCGCGGAGCTCCAACAGGAGGTCACCACTTGCCATTCTCGAAGCTTTATATCCTGGGCCAAAGATTTCTGTCAAAGACTTCGAAACAAGAAAAGGTGAAATTGTTCTCACTGGTTTGCCGGGTGTGTCAGCGTGGACAACGTGAAATCGGGGAAAGGATACTCTCTGGTGACCATAAAACTGGAAGACTTCATCGGTGCGCCCTCTTTTCTGAGGGCGATCAGGGAGTGGGGGGAAGGAACTAGCCATAAGAAAAGGTTTCTTTTCGGCAGCGGTGCCAGCCACCCACCATGGAGTCCTACAAGGGGACGCTGCAGGGTCTGGAAGCACAGGCCCTGCAGACGCCAGCTGTACACCACCACTATAACCGAATATGGTGTATCCAAGGTAGGATAGCCACACAGGGTTAACCCTTGCCGCCAGGAAACACGGAAGTCAACGGAAGAGAGTAGAGGACAGGAAAGATTTAAAGTAAGAGAAAAGACGAAGATGTGAGGGGGAGACAGGAAAAGGCGACTGCCGATTTCCCCTGGGTGGGTCAGCCCAGGGGTGCCGTCTACGTGAAGCCGGGGCCAAAGGGGTGTGTTGCCTCTGCCGGGGGGCCTTAAAGGTCCAATCACCCAGCGTCAGCTCAACCCCCAGGATCCCCTTTTCCCCGGGCACGGCAAAGCCACGCACGGCTAGGCGTGGGAGGGAGCCGAAGCTCCCCCGTTAGCTCGGGTCCGTGGTGTCGCTACACACCAAACGCCTACTTGCGCAGGCGCCCCTGCGGGGGGAGAATAGAGAGTGTTTACCACCAGTGGGGAAGATGCGTTCTGAGTCGGAGCGCGTGAGTGGCCGACCTTTTACCGGCGAAGAAGTTTTCTAATCGAAGTGAGGACATTTGACGAGGCGAAGTTTGCTAGAAGAGAAACTTCGGGATAAGAGGAACAACAACAGCGCTGGACTTGGAACGAGTGTTCTTAGAAGAGAAACATTCAAGCTTTATTCCAAGAACTTTGGACTGAATAAGCTCGACGAACTTTTTAGTCTTCAAGTGTCTTGGTTGGTTGGTGCATGAGATTGCATTGTAGCATGTATGGTTTGTGGCCGTTGTTTTGAATATATCTTGCAGTGTTGTGTACCCGTCGTGATTGGAGACGTTTTCTATTGGATTATTGCCGACAGTGTATATTTGCATGTTGTTTGATCTGCCGTATTTGAGAATATATTTTTGTTTTGTTATCAACTCTCGTCTCTGATTCAATTTTGGACCAGAGCTCGCATTCCCTGGCGCACCAAATATAGGACCACATCTACATTTTCCGTGCTTTTGTGGTGCCATTCGGGAGGCCGATACTTCGGTCCTTGGAATTAGACCGGCGATCCCTTCCCCAATTAACGGGACCAGTGACAACATTCCCTGCTTGACCGCAGCTTGGTATCCCATAGTAGCGAATGTTGAATGTACCATAACTTTTGTTCAAAAGTTTTTAGAACACTGCGTGTTTAAAATCAGCACATTGAAATTCATAATCTCGAGAAGTTTAACAACAATATGCTCAAAAGCAAAACCACACTTCTGAAGCAGGGCCTCCCTATGCATGAGCAAAAGCTCGCATTTCAGCCTCATTGTGTAATCATCAAATGACTAACAGACATTGTACCACTGCTGTCACGTACCATGATACCTACAGTAAGAAAAGGTGTTACAGGGTCCTTTTAAGCAATGTATATGTATTACAGCATACATGGCCTGGATGAACAAGTTATACGAAACTATCAAATACAGTAGGAGCTCAGTAATTTGAGAAATCTTATCACTCTAATGATCCTCTGGTCCTGTCAAATCTATGCAATATTTAATGGCATCAACTGCGCCCCGGAAGTGTAGCAACTCCGTCCCGAAAAATGCCATTCGAGAACTCAATTGCCTTCACTACCGAATGTCATTCCCCGTGCGCATGTGGCACGGGTATAAGCTTCTATATCCTTTAAAATATATGTGTGTGCCACATCTACGGCCGTGTCTCTAGCAAACACAGCTTCATTCACAGTGAATGCAGTGCTCAGTCATTTCCTTTTAGCTCTGTGAAATAATCACACACCACAAGCATGCCAGATGCTGTCAAAGATGAAAAAAGATTCTACCATGGTGTGCATGCTCACTTCATTGGCTAAATCATGATGGGTACATGCTCTTTTGTCGGCCAACTTACCCTGGAAAAAATTACTTGTCTTCACAGCAGTAGTTTAGTGTTTATTGTGCATTATTCTGCCAGAAGGACAAAGGAATGAATGCTACAGGAACAAATGGCAATGTCATGCAAAGAACGGCAAGCAGCTCGAGACTTGTAGTGCGCACCTCAAGCAAAAAGCACGCACAAAAAGAGCATACACAGGACGGGCGCGGACAGCACAACTGTGACAACTCGACACTTAAAGCATGTTGCTCAAACGAAAGACGCACAAAACAAACGCACAAGTATACAAAAGACAAGTGAAAACAACTTTCACAATTTCTACTTCTTCATGTGTGAGCAGCGTGCTCCTTTCGTAAACTCGACTGCAGCAAAGAGCGAAGTGACCTTCGTGCTTTCTTTAACCACTGTAACTTAGAAGCAAGCTTGCTGTGGAAGCTGAAGAGTACAGAGTACCCGAATCTTGAGATAAGCGCACGCGCTAGTTAGCAACCATGCCAGATCGCATTTACACACACTTTGACCACGCCATGTGGAAGCGCACGTGCATAGCAACTAGCAGGGTGGCACGAGGTGACGACCTTTCGAGCGCGTGCGGTCAACACGTGCTTTTCGCGCCATCTAGCTAATGATGATGAAAAAGCGCTGAAGTTGCTCTGCGGACCGACAACAGTACATAGCGTATATAAATGGCTTGCCGTTAGCATCGTTGACAACGTACGCTTCATGGCTTAGTGGTTAGTGCCACGCGCTATGAATTCAAAGGTTGCTGGTTCGACGCTCTGCAACAGACGTTTTTCTTCTAGACTTTTTCTTTGCAATCTATTAGGACTTATTTTACAACGTCACATTAATGGCAGAAGTACATAAGCGAAGCCATGATGGACCCCAGCAACAAACACTTTCATGACAAAAAGGAAAAAATTAGGATTGAGAAGCAGCAGTGCACACGAAATCAAAAGATGACAAGGATTACAGCTTGCACACGGCAATTATGCAGAATATGCATTTGTTCATTTTTTTTCGTACCTTCAATAATTCAACATTTGGTTAATTAAGACACTTTTTTAACAGTCCGACAAAATACAAATACTTTTTACTATAGCTATTCTCTCAATGCTTTGAACTGTATTGAGCCATATGAACATCCTCACCCCTCGTCTTTGTACTCTCCACACCCTGAGAAAATGTGGCTCCCTGCGTCTGTATAAAGCGGGCTGCCCGATCCGGGTGGAGCCCACCTCTGCCACGCCGTGAACCTCGGCCTCCATGATTGAAGCAACCACGACCTCCTCTGCCTCTTTCAGAGCTGCAACAATTAAAAAAAAGTATTGAATAAGTGATTATTGTTTTCTTAGTATTAAATATACCATGAGCATGGTCAACAGGAGGATGCTAAGGAGGAATAGCAGAAAGGTACAAAAAGCATGAGTAGGTTTCCTAATTTAATGAGGTAGGACCCTGATGCATACAACTGCGTTTTGTTGAGAGATGGCTGGCCTGGACTACAAGCAGGTGGCATCACCTACACTGGAACACAATGCAGCTGTGTTTTGTGATAAATAGTGTTCATGGAGAAAGCCCTTGCCTATGCTGATGAATGCAACATGACCCGACAGATTATCTTTGCCAGGCAGGCAGGTGAGCACTTTTCTCAGAATGCTTCTACGCCACCGCTGTCATCAGGCCCCGTGTGGGACCTGCAGACACCACAGTCAATACTTTGCTGTGGCTTCCAGCGTTGCCATTCATCGTATCACAGAGTAACTGCAATGCACTTCAATGACCTGTGAGCTTGAAGTGGGAGGCCAGCCAACCTGCAGTTGCGGTTTTGTGAGGAGGCAGCTGCACCCACCAACTACCTGCTGTGCGCACTTTTCAGAGAGCGATCAAGGTGGCCAACTGGATGTGTGTGTGTATCTGGGTAAATCATACAAGCTGTCAGACCTGCAAGACTCTGAAATCTAAGTACTGCATCACATGGTCCACTGAATCTTTGCCAGGAACATAGGGGAAGCCTGCTGGGTCGTCAAGGTCTAGTGCACCAGCTACTGAGGTTCCACTGCTGGTGGGGAACCATAGTGGCACTAGAGACCACCACAGGCCAGTGCCATCGCTTTCACAAAAAAGGGGCCACAGCAAATACTTTACCACACACATAGTTTTCTTCCCCTCATCTTCTTGGTGTTGTTCTTGGCAGCGATTCCCACTATGCTAACTTAGTGCTCTACATTAACCTTTCCTACACTAGAGAGTCAAAGTATAAAACTTTTTACAGACTACTAGTCTCCACTTTTTAGTTTTTATCATGGCCAATAGCATCAGTGTTACTTAAGCTACATTCTTCAGGTAAAGCATGTATTGCAATCCTAGTGGTTCGTTGTCTAGCCACACCCAACAATGCAACAATGCCACAGCAGTCCATTGTAGGGCCCCGAATCACAAATGCATTTCCTCACTACACAGTGCACAGTCTTTAAAGTTTGAATTTCTTTCACTTGAGCTTTGCTTTACTTAGTTTCGGGCCACAACGAATGGAAGGTGGGTAAATGTTACATACCACAAAAGATTAAGAGATGTGCAAAGAACAATGATGATGAGTAGTTTTTAGTGGCGCAAGGGCCAATTGATGGCCAAAGAGCGCCATTTCAATTGACTAAAGATATGAACAATGATACGGTGCGTGGCTGTAAAGGGGCCTTAAAATTCCTCGCTCTAACGTGGGTTAAACAAGAAAGTAATAAAATCATGACAGTGGCGTGACATATGAAGGTGATAGCTGATGGCAAAATCTCATGATAATAAAACCATGGTGAATATATAGTCACCGCAGCCACGACCACTCATAGAGGTCGTGCTACGGATGACCTCGAAATATCGGGTGAAAGCTTTGCACTTCTTTTAAAAACATAAAAATTGTTTTCAGTTTCAAAAGCGGATCCCTACCGATGAGCATCCCAGGGTGTAGAGGGAGCTGCTGTCGGTAGGGCAGTAAAAAGTGCTTTTTTCTTAGAGCATTTAGCTCATTGCACTGGACGAGAATGTGGAGAACCGTAAGGGGCTCTCCACATCTCTCACAATATGGTGGATCACCGGTAGACAAAAGAAATGAATGTGTAGAATGTGTGTGTCCAGTTCTAAGCCTTGTTAGTATTACTTCCGTGTGTTGTGATTTTGATAGTGGCGGCCAATAACCTAGTTGCGGCTTAATAGCATGGAGTTTATTATCTGTTTGTTTATCCCACATGCTCTGCCAATACCCCCTGAGCTTTCGTTTTATAAAAGGTTTTAAGTCAAGTGCAGGGACTGGTGTTGATGCATTGGCAGTAGTGACATTGGCGCAAGCAGCCAGATTGTCGGCCAAAACGTTCCCTTGTATTTCACGGTGCCCTGGAACCCAGCAGACAACGACATGCTGTTTTGATGTGTGATGATGATGATATATGTTGTTTAATGGCGCAAGGGCCATTGATGGCCAAAGAGCGCCAGGAGATGATATGGGATGAGAGCAATGGTTATGATAAATGGCTGTAAAAGGGCCTAAAGTTCTGCGCTCTAAAGATGCGTAAGACATATATTTATTAAAATCATGAAAGTGAAGTGAAGCATGCCTGGTGAGAATGGGTCTTTAATTGTCATGACATCATAAAATAGGAGCGTTATAATTAGCACCGATTTCTCGCCAGTGCCCTTGGTCCCAAGGGCCGAGAAACAGGTGCTCTTTTGGATGTAGCATCCGCAGCAGCAGCCTCCTTTCGGAGGCCGTGCTACCGATCACTTGAGTAAATAACATGGAAAGTATTTACTTCCTTTAGGAATGCATTCAATGCATTATACTTAAAAAGAGGTTCGCGACCAAAAAACATAGCTGGGTGAAGGGGTATGTGTTCCTTGTACGCTAGTGTAAAATGTTTTTTCCTGTAAGCCTCTAGCTCAGAGCATTCAAGGAGTATGTGAAGTACGGTAAGTGGACGGCCACATCTGTGACAGCTGGGTGGGTCACCACCAGACAAAAGGTGTGTGTGCGTGCTGTGTGTGTGTCCTATTCTAAGCTGACAGAGACTGACCTCTGTGCGGCGTGTTTTCGACATGGGTGGCCAGTTACCGAGGTATGGTTTAATCAAGTGTAACTTGTTATGAGTTTGTTGATCCCATAACTTCTGCCAGTAAGCCCTGAGCTTTTTTCGTATGTTTGGTTTTAGGTCCATTATAGGGACAGCAACTGAAGAGTTGGCGGAGCTTCCGTTAATTGACGTGGCGAGCTGGTCGGCCAACACATTTCCTTCGATCTCGCGATGTCCTGGCACCCAGCACACGACGATATGCTGCTTGGAAGTATAGGCCGCGCAGAGTACCGAATAAAGGGATATAATTATAGGGTTTCTGTGTTTTTTAAGATTTTTCAACGCCTTTACGACACTCAGGGAGTCTGTGTATATAACTACCCTTGGCGTATTCAATTCTTTGATGTGTTTAACGGCTACGAATAACGCGTAAGCCTCGGCTGTAAAAATGCTTGTGCTGGAGGACAGAACGCCGGCATCCGAGAAGGATGGGCCGACCGCCGCATAGGACACGCCAGTATGGGACTTGGATGCATCAGTATAATATTCTGGACAGTCATATTTATGTTGCAGCTCTAAGAAATACATCCGAATGTGTATGGGGGAGGCATGCTTTGTGACAGCTACGAAAGATGTGTCACAGTCTATAACCTGCCACTGCCATGGCGGGAGCCGCAGAGCGGGGGGGCTGAGGTGGTATTAAAGCAGTGGGACATCTGTTTCTTCAGCTAGGTCTCTGACACGCAGCGAGAAAGGGCGTGCCATTGCAGGTCGATTGTAAAAAAGTTGAGAGCTGGACAGGTCGTTGATGGTGGAATACGCAGGTTGCTCACTGTTTGCATTTACTTTAAGGAAATACATGAAGGAAGAATAAGTTCTCTGCAGATGGAGTGACCACTCGTCCGATTCCACATAAAGGCTTTCAACTGGGCTTGTTCTAAAGGCGCCTGTAGACAGGCGGATGCCTTGATGATGAACAGGGTCCAACATTTTCAGAGCGCTTGGCGTGGCAGAGTGATAGACTATTGCCCCATACTCAAGACGTGAGAGTATAAGGCTTCTATACAGATTCATGAGGCACTTTCTGTCGCTGCCCCACGTTGTTCGTGACAGCACCTTCAGGATATTCATTGTTTTCAAGCATTTATTTTTAAGATGTTTTATGTGCGGTATAAAGGTTAACTTCGCATCTAAAATTATACCTAGGAACTTATGTTCCGTGTTTACGGGTAGACGCTCACCCTTAACGACCAGTTCAGGCACTGAGTGCAAGCCTCTTTTTCGAGAAAAAAGAACACAGGTGCTTTTCTGTGGGTTCAGTTTGAACCCGTTTTCATCAGCCCATTTGGATATCTTGTTAAGGGCGAGCTGAACCTGTCGCTCACAGATCCCAAGAGAACACGATTGAAAACCTATCTGCACATCGTCGACATATGTTGAATAAAAAATATTACGTGGAATGTACAGACGGAGAGAATTCATTTTTATTATAAAGAGCGTACAGCTGAGCACCCCACCCTGTGGCACTCCGGTTTCCTGTACAAATGTTCGGGACAGAACATTGCTCACTCTAACGCGGAAGGTTCGATCAGACAGATAGCTTTCAATGACACTGAACATATATTACCATGTATACCTAAGTGTGAGAGGTCTCTCAATATTCCAAACCTCCACGTGGTATCGTAGGCCTTCTCCATGTCGAGGAACACAGATAAGAAAAACTGATTATGAACAAAAGCCTCACGTATGTGTGCCTCGATACGTATAAGATGGTCGGTGGTAGATCGGCCCTCTCTAAACCCGCACTGGTATGGGTCGAGCAATTTGCTTGTTTCTAAGTAGTGGAGTAAGCGGCAATTAATCATTTTTTCAAATAGTTTGCAGAGGCAGCTTGTTAATGCTATGGGTCTATAACTTGATACAGTAGTGGGGATCCTTTCCCTGCTTCAAAATTGGAATTATAACAGCCTCCTTCCAGGAGGAGGGGATCACACCTGAAAACCATATGCGATTATAAAGACAGAGGAGGGTTTTTTGAGTTTCGGAGGATAGTTCCTTCAGCATCGCGTACATTACATTGTCAGAACCTGGGGTAGATGTATTACAGGAGCTGAGTGCTGTTCGCAGTTCTGCTAAGCAGAATGGTTGATTGTATGCCTCATTTCTTGTGGATTTTCTTTCTAACTTTGGTTTTCTATTCGTGCCTTGTAATTCTGAAAGGATTCGGAGTAGTGTGAGGAGCTCG